CCGTTGTTGGTTCCTGCTGCTGCTGCCTTTCCTATTGCTAGCTTGCTGGCTTGCTGGCTTGCTAAATTTTTTGCCAGAGAAGGTTGGATTTGCCATAGGAACCCAATGACCCTGGTCAGCAGAAAGTAGTTTAAAGAAGTCTATATCCTCTTTCCCCTTTAACCTTCTTTCTCGAATTTCTAGTATTAAGGGAGGGGGTTTGGAAGAGATTGGAGTGGAGATATAAGAACCCAAAGAAGAAAGAGGACCCGGAGTAAGCTGATCAATCCTCACTTAGAAAAACAAATGGAATGGATATTGAAAGTAGAAGAAAACAAACAGGACAGGAGCCTACCACAGAGGGCCTCTGAAAGACTCTACCTAGCAGTGTATCAAAGCAGATGTTGGGACTCATTACCAAACTTTGGGCAGAGTGCAGGGAATCATATGAAAGAAGGGAGAGTTTGTATGACGTGGAAAGGATAGGAGTTCCACAAAGACCAAATATATCTGGGCACAGGGGTCTTTTCTGAGACTGACATTCCACCAAGGATGATGTATGGATATAACCTAGAACCTCTGTTCTGATGAAGCCCATGGTAGCACAGTAACCAAAGGGTTTTTCCTAGTAAGGGAAACAGGGACTATTTCTGACAAGAATTCAACGACTGGCTCCTTTACCTCCCCGCCTGAGGGAGGAAGAGTCTTGCTAGGCCACAGAGGAGGACATGGCAGAGACTCCTGGAGATACCTGATAATCTAGGGTCAGATGAAAGGAGAGGAGGACCTCCCCTAGCAGTGGACTTGGAAAAGGGCAGAGAGGTTGGGATTGGGAGAGAATGAGGGAGGGGCTAAGGCTGGGATACAAAGTAAACAACCTGTGATTAATATAAAAATAAAATTTAAATTTAAAAAAGAACCCAAATAAAATAACTAAAAATAATATTAATAATGTGTACATCCATCCTTGAGATGCAGAGCAGAAAACACGCTTGCTGAAAACAGAATATTTCTAAGCATTTTGAAGGGAGAGTACTTGGGCTGAGCAAGTCTTTGTTATCCTTGCAAGTGCATTAATCAGGTAATTATTGCCATGACACAGAAGGCACATTATATCAAGAAGCAGGAACTGGTTCATGATTGAAACATCTTCAAATAAAGAAGCATAGCAAGAATGGACAATAGTAATTTTTATTGGGATTGCAGCGAGTCTTTAGATTAGATTGGGGAAGTTTAACATAAAATAAATAATCCAAGTCTTCTGACCCATGAACAACATGTGCCTTCCAATTGACTGAGTCCTTAATCATTGCAGCAACATCTTGTCATATTTAATATACAGAAATGACTTCTTGTAGATAGACTATACACACAAGTACTTCATTTTGTGGTGATGTTTAAATTACAGTATTCTAAAAATACAAGTACAGGTTACCAAATGTTCTTGTTGTGTACTTGAGCATATTTTGGATATCCTTGGCTGGCTCTTTGATCACCTCCTCCGCAGGGGGAAATAGCCTGGCCAGATCACAGAAGAGAACAATGCAGCCAGTCCTGATGAGACCTGATAAGCTAGGGTCGGATGGAAGGGGAGGAGGACCTCCCATAGCAGTGGAGTTGGAGAGGGGCATGAGAAGAGATTAGGGAGGAAGAGTGAGATTGTGAGGCAATGAGGGAGGGGGATACAGCTGGGATACAAAATGAATAGAATGGAATTATTATAAAAATTAAAAACAAGTACAGGTTACCATACATTCCCCAAAATTGCATTGCAGTGTCCAAATTTGAAATGGTAGCTGTTGAGACGTAAGAAAAAAAAAATTCTAGAAAAGCACAGTTTTAGCTTTTAAAAAGTACTTTCCTGTTAACATGCATTTTCTTGTACATGCACATATGTTTTAGGAAGTCAGTGAAAATAAACAGATACTAGGGATCAAAATGTCAAATTTATCTGTTGACAAGCTATAGAACCGTCAGTGTGTGGAGAGAACATCGTAAGTAGGCTATAATTAATACATGTGTTTCGAAATGAATCTGTTGAAAGGTGTGGTTTTACTTCTTCACCTGTTTTACTACTTCACCTGTCAGTCAATTCACTATAATGTATTCTTGGGTCGTGAGAAAGAAAGGAAGAAGAGGATACAGACATACATAGAAGAATTTGTTACCATATGCATATTTATGTTACTGGAGCTGCCAGGAAGGTTTGTCATGAGGAATATTTAAAATTAATTGAAACAGTCATGACATTCTTACCCAGATCCTAGCACATATTAGAAATAAGATTAGCGACCCCATTATTTTTCCCAGCTTCCCTTGGCCAGTGTGGTTACCATGGTGATGGCTGTGGAAACTGATGCCAACTGTGATTTTTGCCTGAATCACTTTATCACTATGGTGTTGCCATGTGTTGTTTTTCTAATTCTGATTTTCCTTCTGAAATTATTGCTTGATATTTGAGATGTGGAAGAGATTTCCCTGCCCATTTATTCATTTATAATGTTTTAATCAATCTTACTCAGTCACACTTTTCTCAGAAGAAGTTACCATCTTTTGTTATTGATATATGTGTGTGTGTGTGTGTGTGTGTGTATGTGTGTGCATATATATACACATACACATATGCTAGAATTTATTGGCTAGAATTTATTGGCTAAATTTATTTTATTTATTTATTCTCTTTCAAGATGTCCCCAGAATTAAGCTGATACCTTCCCAGGATTCCTTGAACATATACTTTGCTTTCTAAAACTATCTCCTCACTTGTACAAAGGGATTGATGCCACTTATCTCAGAAGATAGCTTTTAAAGTGTCCAAAAACCTACAGTGTATGGTATGCAGTTGCTCCTCAGCATATGGGACCTCCCTGAATTCGCCTTCTTTATTCAGTCAAAGTAATAGCTCTGACAATGTCATGGACTGGCTACCTAGTAAACAGGAATCAGCCCACATATCTCTTAGGTTAGTCTCAGTTCCACGATTTAGTGTGTAAGAGGAGTTGCAGGATACAGCAGGAAAGAGAAAGAGCATCATCACACAGCTTCCTGCCTTTCCCATCTGGTTGCTTTCTTCTCTATCCCATATGCTTTCTTTCTTCCTTCTCCTGTCTTTTACTATAACACCAGAAAAGGGTGTTTAATAGGCAGTGCAGAATCTGAGGCTCAGAGTAAAGAAATGAGTCTGATGTATATAGTTAGTTGAGTAGGTTCCTGGAGAGATTTGGTCCCCAAAATGGAGACAATTTTAGTAAGACACTACTTTTCCGTTGGTCTCTTCCACGCAAGCAAATAACAATCCTGAACATATCTGAACCACAAGAAATACTTTGGAGATTTGCTTGTTCCTGCATGAGAAATCATCCTGTTCTCTCAGGTGGAGAGAAGGACAAGGAAGTTCCTTAACTGTATCAGCAGGTGCTTCAAAACTCCTAGAACTCTGCATTAAATCAACAGTGATTAAACTTGTGCTGTTTATGATAGGCAAGAGTGAAGATTCTTCTATGCAGGATTGGGCTTATACAGAAGAAGCCGGTGAATTGTCAACTTTATGAGACACGTTAATGCAGTAATAGTGTAGACATCAGAGTTCCATCTTTAAAGCACTGATTAAGCAACTACCTGGAACCAGCTTCATCTAAACAAAAGGAACACAATACCAATTCTCCTAATGAATGGGACTGCTCTCTAGAGTTTAGTGACTCCAGGTGAGGAAGAACCTTGTGTTCTCAGGTGGATTAAGTGACCAGGGCACTTGGATCATTTACACCAATAAAGACCTTCCCGTTGTCCCCAAACTCTGCATGGTGCCATTAAATTAGTTAGATTAAAATGTTGACACATGTAGTCAGCATTTTTCGGGGGGTGGGAATTTTCTTCAGAATCTCCTGATGGTGTTTATTGAACGTGACAATATTTGCGTCCATTCCAAGTCTTTTGAAGATAAAACAACAACAAAAACGTGGAATTGTGGTGGGTAGATTCCACCTAATCCTGGTACTCATTGAGCTTTGAAAGGCACTGATGTCTATTTACAACAAGAGCTTTTATTATCTTAAATCATTTTGTGTATTGTTTCATTGTTCTGGGTGGTAAAAATTCCAGCTTCTCTAGAGGGTCAGTAATTTTTTTTCAGTTTGTTTATAATCAGTCAGTGATATATATACAAAGCAGGGGGAAAGCAGCAGGAAGGACAAGATAGGGAGGAGCCCTGGACCTGTCACTGTTGATTGGCAAAAGTGGGTAAGAAAAACAACTGACCAGGCAAGTTATGTGGAGATGTGTGTTTGAAGAAAATAAACAGAAAACAGCTTAAATAGGGCACAGAGTTGTCAATGAAGGCCTTTCCCAGAAGTGGCTTTGTTACTGAGTCCTGAGTGATAAGAAGCCAGGCATGCACAGGTCACTTCTTGCTGTGCTTGCAACTGTGTGCTCCAGTTGATCTGGGAGCAGGGACAAGCCCAGTGGATGGAGCCTGGCAGACAAGAAGCAGGCTGGGAGAGGGTGAGGTTGAAAGAGCCAGAGGTAGCACTCAGTCTGGGCCACACTGGACACTAAGACTGTGTTGAATGTGGAGGAGTCCAGCAAGGGAGTTGCTTGAGCTGGGGGGGGGGGTGGCTGGTCTCTGTGCGGAGAATGGACTGCAGAGGCAGGGTGAGCTAGAATGTAGGGAAGTACAGCCATGAGGAGCCTGTTTCAGAAGCCCAGAGGAGGGGCTAGAATGTATGAAAGCCATGATGCAGCAGTGTGAATAGGGACAGGGTTCCCTGGACAGGGCTTTGTGTGTGTGTGGTAGATGGGACCCTCAGTGGTTGTGGGGGTGGGGGATGAGGCAGTTCAAGGCCCCCTGGCGTATTCATCCCCACTGCTGTTTTCTGTCAGATACCCCAAGTGCCTTAGATTATCAGCAGACAGTGGTTGTAGGGTTAACTGGTGTCTTGGAGGAAAAAAAAAAAAAGGCATCTTGGGAGGCGCGCGTTCCAGGGATGCGTGCGCGCTCCCAGCATTCTGCGTGAGCCAGAGGAAGGCAGAAGGAAGGCCAGCGGACAGCAGCACCCCTTGCCGAGCGAGCGCCTGTGGAGTTCGCGTGGAGGGATCCACGGATCGATCCCGCAAGATGAACACCCTGCTGTCGCGGGCGAACTCGCTGTTCGCCTTCACGCTGAGCGTCATGGCGGCGCTCACCTTGGGCTGCATCCTCACCACCGCCTTCAAAGACAGGAGCGCGCAAGTGCGCCTGCATGTCTCCAGGATCCTGCTCAAAAAAGTGGAAGACTTCACTGGACCCAGAAAAAGAAGCGACCTGGGCTTCATCACATTCCACATCTCTGCGGATCTGGAGAAGACTTTCGACTGGAACGTTAAGCAGCTCTTCCTTTATCTGTCGGCAGAATATTCCACCAAAACCAACGCTGTGAACCAGGTAGTCCTCTGGGACAAGATCCTTCTGCGAGGCGAGAACCCCAAGCTCAACCTGAAAGATGTCAAAAGCAAGTACTTTTTCTTTGACGACGGACACGGTCTCAAGGGAAACAGGAATGTCACTTTGACCCTGTCCTGGCAAGTTATACCGATTGCTGGAATTCTGCCTCTTGTGACTGGATCTGGACGAGTGTCTGTCCCATTTCCAGATTCCTATGAAATAGCCAAGACTTTTTAAAGAACTCTGTCTGCATCTGAAAGGGATATCTGTGTACTTAAAGAATTGTAGTTTAAAATTCTCAAGAATCTGAATGAACTCGTGTTGCAATAACCCATTCTTGTATGTGTGGCACTCCTGCATGTTCACACTGAATGTGACTTAGAAGCAGACCTTTTTTCATCTCTTGTAAAGCATGCTTGTTACCTGACAAAAACAGCTAATGTGATTATTTGATAGATGCCATAAGTGGTGGAAGTGATGTAGCTAATCACTTTTCTTGGAGAGTGAATACGTGTTTATTCTGTAAATCATTGTAACGCATTTAATGGCCGGATCCCTGAGAAATGTGGGTCTTTCCAGGCTTTCCCTTCAAAAGTTTTCATGTTTTACAGCTTTTTAAAAAAACAATGTTTTAGTATTGTCATTGAAAGTTGAACAGTTTTGCTTGATTTCTCCACTAAGTGAAGCTTATTTCACCACTAGGTGCTAATTATGTACAATTCTCTGCAACTCTCTATTTTAATAATTGATTAATAATAATACTTGTGATATAATTTTCCATTTACAAACTCTCTTATGTGCCATTGTATTCTATTACAAGTAATCTGGGAATGTTTATAAACAAACATTGGCTCTCTCTCCATGAAGCTTGGTGAATCATTTCAAACTTAAGTAGTAGCAAGGAATGGAGTCAGACTTTGATCTTAAATATTGTCATTCCCTATTGTCATACCTGAGATGATGTAGTAGTACAATTTTATTTGTAATTTACATTTTTTGTAACCCTGAGTCCTTTTGTCTTGATGTTTCCAATCTTATGTAAAAGTAATGTGTGCTCAAGTTGTAAAAAACTTCTATAAAAATACCTCCTTTCACTCTCTGCATATTTGTTTCCTTTATAATGGAAGTATAAGAAAATTGAAATGTGTTTAAAATATGTTAGATATACGTTAAGGTACATGATTGAATTATGACTTGTTATGATTTTTTTTCTGCTGTGGAAAAATCAGTAACCTCTAAGGGTAGCATCTATAGGTAGGTTTAAGGGAGAGAGTTAGGAAGAATTATACCGAACTTGTGGTATGAAAGCGAAAAGGGGAATACCATGATTTAAGCAAGGAGAAACACTATAGTTTCATTATCAGTGATGACACATTATTATTAATCCATAACAACAATCTTTAAATATTTGTCCTTATACAGATAAGTGTGGTCCTCACCCCTCCTCATAGAAAATTGCCTTTGCAATAAATAGTAGGAGAGCACTACAGAAATTAGAACCAGTCAAAATGCAGAGTTGTGGACCCCAACTGATATTTCCATGTCCTTTTACATGAGCAGCCACCAAAATTTGTGAACCAGATTTGTGATAGTCTTCTCACTTCAAATGATCCAGTCAACCAGGGCTAAGCAGGGCTTGCAGAGACTGAAGCACCAATTAAGGACGAATCATGGACTGGACTTAGGCTCCCTACACATATGTAAGATGGGCATCTTGGTCTTTATGAGGGTTCCGTAGTAAGGAGAATGAGGGGCTGTCTCTCACATGGAATCTGTTGCCTGAATTTAGATCACTTCCCCCTGGCTGGCTGCCTGCTTCACCAGGCCATAGGGGAAGAGGTTGCACTTAGTCCTGATGCAACCTGATGTACTGGGATCGGTTATGGGGCTCCCCTTTTCTGGGGAATAAGGGAAGGAAGATAAGGGGGAAAAGGGAGGGAGGAAGGGTAGGACCTCTTGAAGAGGAGGAAGAGGGCTACTATCAGGATGTAAAGTGAACAAATAAAAAAATACAAAAAAGAAAATCCCTCATAGATGTGCCCAGTTGCTTGGGTTTTAATTGATTCCAGATGCAGTCAAGTGACAACCAAGACTAGCCACCACAGTAATCTGCAAAAAGAACAAAACTAGAACAAGTTGATTTCAAACGATACTACAAACTTGTAGAAGCTAAAACAGAATGTAAGTGTCACTAAAGACATACTGACAGACACACACTCTCACACACTTACATTTGGGTAAAAATGAATATGTGCAAGGTATGATAGAAAATTTATTGATTTGGGGTTTTATAGTTTCTACACTTTTATCTCTTCCTATATTAATTGAAAATGATGCTCATAAACATTTAGGTACTCTTGAGAAGGATAAGAATATCACATGTGTGACTTTTGATCTTACCAATTTCTGTACATAAATAGTTGTGGTTCAGGAGAGTTGAAAACTCATGTTATTTCTTCCTCTGGGAAGAATATTTTTAAAAGCTTTAAAAATTATTTTTAGCTATACCTGTGAGAGGGGGAGTGGTTAGAGGCATTTAATCCTCCGGAGCTGGAGTCACAGGCAGTTGTGAGCCACTCAGCATGGATGCCGGGAACCAAGCTTAGGTCCTCTGTAGTAAGTACTTTTATCCACTGAGTCACCTCTTCCAGCTTCCTCTTGAGAGAATCTTAAATGTTCTGAAAATACATGAGAATTATTACATAGGAAAACAACATAAGTTATTTTTCTAAACATGACCAGAGCAGTATGTCTATACTTCTCTGAATGCAACCGAGCTCCTCTAAAAGTGACCACATCAACTGAGTTGGTTCTAATACAGGGAGTCTCTTGAAATACTTTACAAAACCCACCATGGAAATTATCTTTTCATGCAAAGGAATTTGTTAACTAATTAAAGTTAAATGTATGGCTAATAGTGGCTCTGATAACTGTAAGTATACAAGATACCCTGATTCTCTTAACATTTGTTTCTTTCTGTCTCCTTGTCCTTGTTTTGCAATTGCTTTCAGTGAAAAAGCACAATCTTACAAGGTCTTACATAATCTTATAAGCTCTTATAAACTCTTTGGTTTGTATGTTTGTTTGTTTGTTTGTTTCTTGCTTTAGGGGAGTCTCAAAATATTAAGGTCACAATTTTTAAATAATATATCGATAGACAGATGGCAGGTTATAAATACACATTTACATATACTAGTATTTGGATACGCATCTGTTAAAAAGGCAAATTTCGGCTTTGATTTTTTTTTCAAAACCTACTTCATTTATGGTTCTTAAATGCCTCTGTCTCCCTTCCAATCTACCAACCTTATGTAGGAGAGAAAGAAGGTTAATAGGGACAGGGAATGTGAACCTCTTTTGACGTACAATTCCTTGGCACAATTCCTCTCAGGATACCAGCAATCCAGTCAAACAACTAACAACAGCAGCAACCAGCAGAAAACAGCAAACAGAGGCAGCAGCACTAGTCAGCAGCAAAGACAGAATTTTAAAAAAAATGGCATGAATCAGCAACAGTGGTTTACTCAAAGTGATCTCCGGAGCATTTCTCTTTAAAGGCATCTCGAAGCAAAACATAGTGATGAGAAGTGTTGCATTGCAAAATGATTTCTTTCTGTCTGTGGCCCCCTTCTTATACCTTCTCAGAGTCTGTACCAGGATGTTTTACAGCTGGCAAAACAATTCCCCCTGCAGGAAGCAGTTTCTTACTGACAAAAAGCCTGTGCCATCTCAACCAAAACTGCTCTCAGCTATGGACAAAGCATGCCTGCGTCCACACTTGAGACTACAACAAAAACACATTCATACAACCAAAACTTCCACTATTGACAAATAACCACTCTGTTTGCTTTTTTTGAGACAAGGTCTCTCTATGTATTTCTGGCTGTCCTGAATAAAATTTGCTATGTAGGTCAGGCTGGCCTTGCAGTCACATAAATCTGCCTTCCTCTGCCTTCAAGTACTTGGATCATTGGCATGCACCACCATGGCCAGAAAAGACAAATCACTTTGGTTTGTTTGTTTGTTTGTTTGTTTGTTTTAAAATTGTTGTTGATTCTTTGTGAATTTCACATCATGCACCCCCAATCCTACTCATCTCCCTATCTACCCTCACAACCTCCACACCCAAAATGAAATAAGCATAAAAATAATAAAAGAAAAAAAAGAAAACACACAAATTACTTTGAATTTTAATATTTATGTCATTTTATGCATTTGTGTGTGTATGTTTGTGTGTGTGTGTGTCCCTGTATATACTTAGGGTTTCTAGTCTGTGACAAAGTAACACCATGTCCAAAAGCAACTTGTGGAAGAAATGGTTTGTTTCAGCTTATAATTCCACACCACAATCCATAAGTGAGGAAAGTCAGGGCAGAAACTGAAAATGGGCAGGAACCTTGAGGCAGGAGCTTGTCAAAAGCTAATGCATAAAAAAATCATGGAGAAATGCTGCTTACTAGCTTCCTCATAAGTCAATCTGTTTGGAAAATGTTCTCAACTAAAGTTTCCTCTTCCTAAATAGGCTTGTGTTGGCTTGACATAAAACTAGCCAGCACAGTGCCTAAGCATATGACTGTGCACCACATGTGTACAGGAGCCCACAGAGGTCAGAAAAGAAGTTGGATCATCAGGAACTGGAGTTACAGTTAATGAGCTGACATGTTGGTGCTGAGTACTGATATTAAGTCCTTTGCAAGAACAGAAAAATAAGCATAATTTTTAAGCCGCTGCTACAGCCCTTACAGATGCATTTTTATATTGTACACTATTTTTAATTGAGCTACAAAGTTCAGGATGAAGTCTATTTACTGGACTCAAAAAATAATTTTAATCCTTACTTGAATTTACTCTAATATCCACTAAAATCCCAAAGCAATTTAAGAGTCCTGCCCAACAAATAATAAAGGAATAAATTAAAGCCCTGTGAATTCATGTTTTTTTAATTTTTTGTAGTACTCCAGTCTTACCAAATAAAAGACCAAATGAATGAGGTTGAAAATTTGCTCAATATTTATAGGCATTTTATACATTGTAATGAATCGGCATTTAATACATTGTAATGCATAGTATCTTGTAGGCCCACATCTCAATATCTCATTACCAAATGTTTCTGCTGATACAAAAGAGTTGACTGTCTATGGAATTCTAGTTTACTAAGAGAATTATGAGATAGTCTATCAAGTGTTCTGCCGCAAATACTTTTTATTAACAGGTTCTGTGCTAAAGAGTCAGAAGAAAGGTAAAATAAGCTAATAAGGACCCTTACTTTTTCCAAATTTTGACCTTTTGTTCTTACCTGGGTTTTTAGTCAGGCCATTGAGTAAATATTTATGTAGCACATGTTTTGGTGTAGTCTATAATTTTGGAATATCATAGGGCAAAATGAGGGTGTCTCTTTTGATAGGATTCTCGTCAAATTCTTGTTGAATTCCTTCTGTGATGTTACCATTAAAAATTGTTATTATCAGTGGAGTTGGGGATAGGTATTCGTGAAGAAGGTGGGAGGGAAGGTGGGATTAGAAGGGGAGGCAGGAGGAGTTTGTGGGGGGATTCAAAGTGAATAAAGTGTAATTAATAAAAGTTAAAAAATATTATTAAGACTGAAAATACCACTTAATCCAAATATCCACCAAATGTATATTTTTGTGTTAAGTCATTTTGTGGTAATGAACTCTTTGAAATTGATCCAAATTAACTCTCCTACAATGACTTATAAATAAACAGGATAATACACTTTAACTGAAAAAAACAAAATTGTTGTCCGAAATGACGTGAGTAAAACTGATGTCTGAAAGTATATAAATACAGTAGGAAACTTCTTTTTTTTTTTAGTTATAAAATTTTGTTCCCTTAGATTTTTATTACACTAATCCCAATAGATAATATACACATTGCTACAGATTGCTATACATAAAACCATCATTCAAAATTATTAAATTAGTTGCATATTTTAAACTACTCTTGATGAAGACAAATTTTAGTTGATAAGGCAGCAGAGAGTTGGTTTAGGGAATGTCGGCTATTCTATAATGTTGGCATGGTTATTAAACATAGCCTTCCATGTTTTCCCCTCAGCAAGATTATTTACGCT